TTGTCCCCTCTCCTCCCAGCCCCCAGGACCAGCTTGTCCCCTCCTCTCCTCCCAGCCCCCAGGGCCAGCTTATCCCCTCTTCTCCGAGCCCCCAGGGCCAGCTTGTCTCCTCCGAGCCCCCAGGGCCAGCTTGTCACCATGCGGAGGTGGGAAGGGGAGGCGGGCGGTGCCCACTGCACTCACCAGCACTCGGTCTCCCAGGCGCAGGTCCTTGTCGCCCCGCTTCACGGAGCCGCTGTCTGAGAGGTTGGAGCCAGACTCGTTGCCCGTCTTGACGGAGCTGTTGAGGACGCTGTCCCGCAGCGGGATGACGCGGCTCGCCAGCGGGGGCGTGGCCGTGCCCGAGTGCAGCGACAGGTTCTGTGCAGTCAGCGACTCCACTGAGTGCGAGTCAGAGCCCTCGGCAGCGGGCTGCCGGGTCAGCTTGGAGGGCCGCGTGAAGATGCCCTGCAGCGCCTGGCACTCGAAGTAGCGCACGCCGCCCACCGAGCCGTCATTCTTGCCCACGGGGTCGTCCAGCACCACGCCCGCCCACTGGCCCGGTGCAAACTGCGTCTCGCCCAGGTACTGCACCAAGCCTGGCTTCACGCCGTTCACCCACACCCGCTCGCCCACCACGAAGTCCCCCAGGAAGTCATCGCCCACTTCGGCCGCCTTTGGGCCTGGCTTCTCGGGGGCGGGGGAGGCTGAGGAGGGTCCGGATGCCTGCTTGTGCAGGGGGGAGCCTGGGGAGCAAGGAGAAGAGGCAGTTAGGGCCGAGGCGGGGACTGGACCCTGGGTGGCCCCCAGAGCTGAGCCTCACTCAGCCCGGCGGGCTCGGTGCCTGTTCACAGATGGGGACACCGAGGCACATGGGTGCTACACATGGTTAAGCGCTAGACTATGAGCCTGGGGGTGGCATCTGAACCCACCCTGAAGCGCCTCTGTGACCCCCCCACCAATGCTCATGGAAGCAGTCAAGAGATCAAACACATTGCACGAGGTACACAGGCGGCACCAGCCCTCGTTTAGAGAGGTGAGAAGCCGGGAGTTAACTTTCAAGAATGAGCTGTGCTTGAGCCATGGGATTTCCAGTTGCCTCCCATGCATGGGGCGTTCAACACAGAATCGGGGAGACAGAAGATGACCCGGCGCATGTGAACTGTGGTGCTGGAGAACACTGAGAAGCATCGTGCCACGGGGCAAACAAACCTGTCTTGGAAAAAGTACAGCCAGAGTGGGCCTCAAGGGACAAGGACGGTGAGAATTCATCGCACGGCCTTTGGAGAGACCCGCCCCTGGAGAAGGGCATCGCGCTTGGTAACGTGGAGGGGCGGCGCCAAACATGAAGGGCCTCCCACATCGGGACACCTGAGGGGACGGGGCAGGGCCGCTCTGCTGGACATCAAGCCGCTGCGAATTGGGACAGACAACCGTGCCTCACAAGGACGTCGCCGAGGAGCTTGGGGGATAGGCCTGACAGCCGGCTTCGGACCCTTGAAAGCTCTGGGGAGCCCACTTCCACTGCATACAAGGAGGCTTCCTGAATGTGCTCGACTTGAAACACCACCACCAGCGGGAGGGCGGAGCCCCCAGCCCACGGAGGCTTCCCAGGGTGCAGCGGAGCCCCCAGCCCACAGAGGCTTC